TTTATCAAGTCTGATTGGTTGTATCTGTAATTATTATTTTTTTGTGGGGGCGTTTACATAAATAGCACAGTATTTTTTTTATTTATTTACATATCTCATGCCTAAACTTTCATATTTGCATACCTTGCACTATTATCACTTTTTAAAAATGATATTCGTATTTCATGCATAAGTTTAACACACCAAAGTGGTATGTGCATCAATAGAAAGTGTAGGGGCGAGATGTGTAATTACATAAGAATTTTGTGCTATATATGTAAAAATCTCAATTTTTCGAGGCATTTATAGACATACCAAACAATAAGATTATGTATTTACATATCTAATATTTAAACTCTTTATGTTTACATAACATTCTACTTTTCAATGTCATATAAAAAATTTCACTGCCACTAATTTTTTAAAAGTGAAGTATAACATGTTCATGCAGTTAAACATTCAATTTCATTAAGTATTGTGTTCAAGTGCATGATGCTTATTATCAACATCTTTTCCTATGCACCATTAATTCACATGTATTTACTTATTTAACATATAAACCTCAATTTTTATACAATTGCCCTCCTATTTATACATGAAAATGTGAATTTCACATTTTAAAATTTAAATTGGTAGCTTTTTTCTTCAACTTAACATGAAAGGTTTTGATAGTATAAACAAGGGTCTTTTTGAAATTGAGACTGCTAATGCAGTAGGTGTCATTAAGTATTGCTTAATACTTTCGAAGGAGTGTTGATATTTGTCGTTTCAAGTGAACTTGACATCTTTTTTGGTCAACATAGAAAAGAAATAAAGTGTCTTTAGATATGCTAGCTTCATTGAAAGGATCATTTAACCTAAAGTATTTAGTAAGTCCTATAAATTCAAATTTAATAATTTTTTAGTTATTTAAATATTGAAAATTACCTTACAATTTATTTTAAGATTTAAGTTTGTTGGTTGAAATAATTTAATGTTATATATTATTATGTCTAAATACATTATTCATTAAGTTTAATATATTAAATAATAATTTTATTCATTAAATAGTTTTTAATAGTTATTTATTAGGCTAAACATAATTAATAAAATTTAATGTATAATAATTATTTATTACTTAAATTTATATATTTATTATATAAAACTTATAATAATAATAAATTATAAATATAAACCTTCATGGCGTAGCTTCGGCTTCCTC